CCTTCTCTACGGGCAGTGATGAAGGCTTTTCTGCGCCGTTGACATGCAAAATGCCAGAAGTCTCCATTTGGTGGAGTAGGCGCGGCTAAAGTGTGCTCGGCTACTTCTGAGGCATCGTTGGGCCGCCTGTTGCGTCACCTAGGCTCGGCGTGAAGGCGCAGTAGGGAGCTGTGGAGATGGGGCCATGTTATACGCAGCAGGAGATGCTCAACTGCCAGTATTGGGCCACTCTAGAGTTGAATAATTGAGCAAGGGTCGGCTAGGGCCATGTGGTGCGTAGCAAGAAGTGGTACTCAATTGCCGGTACATGTTGCTCCTATGTAGAATCTTTTAGGGTGACGAGGACAAAACTTACTTTCGAGTGTGTCCTTCCAATGTTGTGTTCGTCAGGGCCTACGCCTTTATCATCGCGCGTCTGGATTGGGCAAAATAGTACGTCATGAGGAAGACTGCATGCGTTTGAAAGTAAAACTTGAGCTTTTGGGTTTTAATAGCATCGATGAGAGCTTTTGAACTGTAGAATACAGGTAGTCGGGCCCCCAGCTCTTCTCACATGATGGTAGAGCTTATAGCTACTTTAGATACCGTCAAACATGCGAATAAGTCCTCCACTGCTTCTAGGGAGGTGATGTCGGGTACTTCTTCAAGTCCTTGAATGTGCATTGGTGAGCCTCATCCCAGAGTGCATGCTTCTCTGCCAAAGCAAAATAGTCTGCCAGAGTTAGATCTTCTTTCATGATCAATTTTCTGAATAGCGGGTGGTCTACTGGAAGGCCTTTTTGGAAGGCTGCTCTAGCTATTGAGTCGTTGCATCCGACTATCCTTGCCTTCTCTGCTTTGAATCTCCTCACATTGTAGCGAAGTGACTCCTTTGGGTTTTTCTTGACATCGAACAAATGGTCAGACTTCTTTTTGATTGAGCGATAGGATGAATATTCTTTGGTGAAAACCAAAGAAAGTTCGTAGAAATTCCGGATGGATTGTGGCGGCATGGTGTAGAACCAATTTTGCACCTCGTCTTGTAGAGTAGTGGCAAATATCTTGCACATGAGATCATCGTTGTTTCGATAAAGGATCATTGCGCTTCGTTAGCGCTTTAAGTGTCTCTCCGGGTCTTCATCCCCTTTGAAAGATGTGAAATGTGGCATGTTGAACTCGCGTGGAGGCTCTGCCTACTCGATCTCGTCCGTGAAGGGTGACCTACTTATGTTAGTCATGTTCCATTGTAGTGCCTCATCGGTGACCTCATTACGTTGGAAATCATGCAATCGCTTGGTCAAGAGTCTCTCTACTTCTTCCTGAATTTGCCTTTGTTAGGGTAGCTGAGATCTCGGCTGCCCCCAGCCATGACTTGCTGGTCTAGGCTGCTCTTCCATGTGTTTGGCTCGTCTATGTCGCGGATGTAGTGCATGTGGTGCGTTCTTAACATGCGAGCGAGTTCTTCGCAGGCTGCTGGTTGAACTTGAGCTGGATTGAGTGACTGCTTCTCTCCGTCCGTCGTGCTGCCTACTCTGATGTGAGGTGGATGATGCTCCTTGCGGGCTTAGCCGCGAATTAACACTTTGCCCGGAAAGTTGCTCATGTTGACTATCGGAATGTGACCCCAACCGTGAATGTGTGCTTATCCGTGGGCCTAGTCGAGAGTGCACGCTCCTCCGCGCGCTAAGACGGGAGTATACGCTATCTTGGGGGCCCAATCGGGAATGTACATTGCCTGAACGTTCGGCTCGTGGCTGCTTGCCGAGACCCTGCTGGAAAAGTTCGTCTGCCCTTGTCCTACTTCGGGATACCTCGTCCGGGGCACGTTGGATCCCGATGCGTTACAAAAGTTGATTCACCAAGGTTGTCTGTTGTGCAAGGGCGCTCGTCAACTCTATGACTTGTCGAGACAAGTGTTGTTCGTCATTTGGATTAGAAGAGCTTGGAAGGAATGCGCCTCATTGGGCAATGGAAGGGTGGTAGACTCCGAGCGCGAGATTTGAGTTGGGAAATGTCAAATCCGCGAAAAAATATGGTGAAAATATCCCCGGCTCGATGGTAGGTCCGAATGGTTGAGATATTCTTGGGCCGACTTGGGTTGCTTGGAAAGCCACGAAAGCAGGTTGGGCCACGAGAATAGGCTGGCCGTGAGAGTGGGCTACTCGACTGGAGCAGGCTGGGCCACGAGAGTGAGCTGCTCGTCGGGAGCAGGCTAGGTCACGAAAGTGGGCTGCTCGGCAGGAGTAGGTTGGGCCGTGAGAGTGGGCTGCTCGACAGGAACATGATGGGCCACGGGAGTGGGCTGCTCGTCAGGAGCATGTTGGGTCACGAGAGTAGGCTGCTCGGCAGGAGCAGGTTGGGCCGTGAGAGTGGGCTGCTCGACAGGAGCAGGTTGGGCCACAGGAGTAGGCTGCTCGTCGGGAACAGGCTGGGTCATAAGAGTAGGCTGCTCGGCAGGAGCAGGTTGGGCCATGAGAGTGGGCTGCTCGACAGGAGCAGGCTGGGCCATGGGAGTGGGCTGCTCGTCGGGAGCAGGTTGGGTCATGAGAGTAGGCTGCTCGACAAGAGCAGGCTGGGACGCGAGATGAGGTTGCTCGACGGGAGCAGGCTGGGCCACGGGAGTATACTGCTCGACGGAAGCAGGCTGGACCATGGGAGTGGGCTGCTTGTCGGGAGCAGGTTGGGCCGCGAGAGCAGGTTGCTTGGTGGAAGCAAGCTGGGCCACGAGAGCAGGTTGTTTGACGGGAGCAGGCTGGGCCACGGGAGTGGGCTGCTCGACGGAAGCAGACTGCTTAGTATGTGATGCATGCGAATGCGAGGCTTGGGCTCGGGCCCGTGCAAACTTGGATGGCACGGCTTGGGCCGTGGCCTTGCTGTCGTGAGCCTTGGATGGCACAGCTCGGGCCGTGGTGAAGGCACCATGGACCTCGCCACGGGTGGCTACCGAGGTAGCCACCGCGATGGTTCCCATGGTGGAAACTCGTGGTGGTGGTGCTGCTCCACTTATTGTCGCATTTAGCCTCACGGGTCTCCGCAATCCCATTTCTTAAACATTAGAATTTTCACTTGTGGAATTTTCTAAATTTCTAGTCATTATATTTTGCTTATACGTTTTATCAAAGAACCTTTGCAAGTAAAAAATTCTAATAATAAGAACGTATGAAAAATATTCAAATGGACTAGAAAATAAAGAAAAAACCTTTTTGTGCGAGAGTCTTCTACGAGTATGGATTTCAACTCTCAATGAAAGCACCAATTTGTGGAGGCAAATTTCTTCCTCCTTGATCTTGGACAATTTTGCACCTACAAAACAATTAACACCTTAGGTTAAGGCCAAGAGCTTCACGTGCCCACGATGAATGGGGGGCTTTAGCCGAAGAACCTCCGATGCCAAAGTTAGAATTTAGAGAGAAAGAGTGTTTAGAGAATTTTGGGATTTTTGCCAAAGTGTTGGAATGAAAGTTTTGTGAAAATGGGAGCCTTTTTATAGGGTTTGGCCGGTCCACTTTTTAGAGAAAGTGGTCGGCCATTAAGTGGGTTTTGTGGTTGATTTTAGGTTTGATTAGCCAATTTATTATGATTAATTGGCTAATTAAACATAAAGGGAATAAATGGATGGTTATAGAATCAATTAGCTAGCTTAATTGGGTAGTAAAGTGGGAAAAGATAGGAAAGGTAGAAAGCTATGGGGATGGCCGGCCATGTGGTATTTTATGGGTAAAAGGGATCACTTAATTGTCAATTTAAGGGATTAAATAGGCAATTAAGTCCTTAATTGGCCATTTATCATGATTTTTAGAAGGAAGGTTTTAGAAGTTATGGAAAGAATAAAATAAATAACTAATTGATTAGCTAAAAGAGGGAAAAAGAGGTAAGAAATATATGGAATGAAATAGGTTTTAAGTTGATACCTATTTTGGGCACTTTTGACTTTGTTTAGGGATGATTACCCGCTGCTCGCGCGTAGGAATCCCAGTATGCCTCAAGGGTATTTTTGTCCTCTTTTACCCAAAAATCCACGTGTCGCCTTGTGATTATTTTAGGCTCCACAGTTAGTTTGATAGAATGACATGGTTTAAGGGTTTTGGAAATACAATCATTGTAAATGCTATCGTCAATGTTATATAGGAATATCGCACTTTCTAAATTTGCGTTCTTCCATTTTCTTTTTCACATCTCATATCTGACATCCATGACCACCTCATATCTGACATCCATGACCACGAAACTGCTATCTCCGAGGATTAGATACACTCTCCTTATTTCCTAGCTAACTCCGCGACAAGTGTTTAGACATTTAACTAGTTTTTTCTTCTTCTAACAAACGATATTATCTACCTTAGGGTTGGGGGAGTGGGTTATGCCTCACAATAACCTAGCAATAATGTGGTTCAAATTTGCCTTTAGCGAGAATTGAACGTATGACCTCTCAGTTACAAATGAAGAGGAATATCACTAGATCCGTCTCTGAGATTTTCGAGCCCTGTGCGAGATATATAAAATGGGCCCACCTTAAGATATTTTAAAAAAAAAGGATAATGTATTGATGCTAGAAAGTTATCATTTAAATCAAAACAAACTTTAGCACTCAATGATTGCAAGATTACACAAGTAAAAAGAGCTGCAAACATAACATTCACTAATAAAATCAAAAGCAGTTCAATTTTAAACAACCAAACAAGAAAAAAAAACTTCAAAAACTCTAACTTTAAAGTTTCACTTGAATGTGTAACATTATTCTATAATAAAATTGAAAAAAAAAATATTGTTTTTACTCCAAATATCTCATTGTACTCCAAATTTTTATATTTAGGAAGAAAAAAAATTACACTTATAAAGAGTGCACAATGAGATTTTAAAGTGCTCACAAAAATAATTTTTAAATATAGAACATTATTACATACAAATATTAGATGGCAAAAATTTTGGAGGCCCTTGAAATTTCGAGCGCTATGCGATTGACTTTTTGCTCATTATTTTTTAGTTTCGGTTATGTTTTAATGGACCTAAAAGTATTTAAATTTCAAGATAGGAGTCACAAAATTAACAAGAAGACATGAAGGAGACATGTATTTTGGGGACAGCATACACGCGGCCCATTTCCATATCTCCTTCTCTTTCAAATATTCTTCTACGTAACTTAACAATAAAAGAAAGTAAAAATGTCAACAGAAAAAAAACAAATACCAGCTAAGGCTTTTATATTTCCCCTCTGGTTAACTAATTAATCACCAAGAGTTCTTCAATGGCTTCTCCAGCAACGCCGAGAGGTACATCTCCCTACGCTCCGGTCCACGATCAAGCTTCTTCCCAACAACCCACTTCAACTTCTTGTACCCAATGCTCTCAATGAGAGGTCCATAGACCTCCTCCAACTGCTCACCTACGCAGAAAAAATGGTCAAGCCAAAACAACCCGCCAGGCCTAAGCACCCTGTAGATATCAAACATAGCGAAATGAAGCAACGTCGTCGGAATCCAGTTACTCAAGACGTGCATCGAATGCACAATGTCGAGCGTATTATCGAAAAACGGCAGCCTCTGCGAAATGCTTAGGTACAAAGGCACGACCCCTCTTGAAGCAATGAAGCTGTTAAAAGGACCATTCAAGTTCATTGAAGTTGTCAAAATTGTTATGTTCCTCTCCTTCATTCTCACAGCGAATGTAGCCACTCCACCGCCGATGTCAAGCCCTATTCGTATCGTTCGGGGTTTCTTGAACCCCAAGACCTCATCCACGCCGAAATCAAGCCCTCCTCCTTTGCCTTTTGCCCACCGATTCTTCTCATTTCCTTGAAGGTCAAAGCAGTCTATACAGTCGTCGAAGCCCTTGTGGTTTTTCTTTCGGTTGATGAGGCAGTCGTAGTTTTTGCATTTGTAGGCTGTCCATACGACTGAGTTGTCGGACGGTGTGGACCAGTAGCTTTTGGGAAGAGGGTAGGGTTCCACGTAGTTAGGGTTTGAGGCAGGGCGGCAGCGTCGGCGTGGTAAGGGTTCGCAGCCCTTGAGGAGGAGCCTTTGGGCTAAAAACTCGTCATCCGGGCACGATCCATTTACCTTGTAGGACATGAAGCGGCGGAGGAGATCAGGGAAGAGTGTGCATGCTTGTCCAACTGGAGGATATATGGTGTTGGAGTCAAAGTTTGCATTGTATCCAAATGGGAGGAGTTGTCCGGACGCAAAGGCAAGAAATTCAGCTGGAAGGTTAGATGTGTCTTCCGTAGAGGCATAAGGGAGGTTGGAGCCGGTCGTTGGAGTGGCGGGATCCGCGGTGGCTGCTGCGGTGGTTGTTGTAGAAGGTTTGAGGGCGCAAAACGAAAATGATGAGGAGAGGAACAAGGTGATGAGATTTGTTGAAAGGAGAAGGAAAAGGAACAAGATATTTGAGGAGTATGGAGGCTTGGATTTAAGTGGGGAATCCGAGGCCATTGGTGTTTCAGTGTTTATTGTTTGTTCAGGTCACTTAGAGAAGAAGCAAAGAGATGGAGTGAGAACAAAGAAATCGGTGTGAGACAACATACCAATATGGTTTGGGATTATATACAACTATTCTATATAATATCAACTGACATTGCCTAGGGAAAGAAACTTAATTAGAAAATTAAACAAAAAGTGAGAAAGTCAACACAACCTTGGGCAAAACTCATTAAGTTAAATAAATTGCCTGCCATTTATTTAATTAATTCAGATCTGGTTTTTAATTTGTTATACAATTGTATATGCAGAATTTAACTGTTGATAATGTCCACTAAATATTTATATGCAAAATATAATATAATTTTCAAGAGTGGCACGTAAAAAATGAATTTTCTAGAGTCCACCCATTGCAGGCAGCGACGTGCATGCCTTGCCTTAGATCCGCAAAAGAAGGTGAACCAAAATCAACTGGCCAATAGCCAGAGCATCTGAAGTAGCAACTGATGCCAAAAAGTCGAAACCTGCCGATTCGTATACATCAAAGAACTTGAAGCACTTGAGACATATATAATTAACAAAACAAAGATCGACTTAATACAATGCACATGTATGCGACTTTTGCGTCAACTGGAGTAGATCTCCTTATATATATGGTTACGATGTCTTTTGTCACACATTTTAACATCTAATTTGTAAGACCCATTTTATAATGTATTTCAATTATCTGAATTTTCTATTTTAGTACATTATTCATAGATCATCCTTATAAAAAATTAGACAAATCCAAAATCATTAAGACATTTATTTGTAGTGAAGAAAATGGACGAATGCGGTTCTACAAAGAAACACTAAATTTAGTTCAACGGTTATATCATTTTGAATTTGAGTGATTTTTGGTAGACATGATCTTTGAGGTAAGACATAAAAGGTAGATCGTCAGATTGTTGAAATACATTGCAAAATGAGCCCCACAAAATGTGTTAAGATGTGTGTCAAAAGCTTGTATTCCCGAATCATAACCCATATATATGACTACTAATTTACTATTACCACTTGAATAGTTCAGCTAACCTTTTAAGGAAAACTAATGAAAATGGTTTGAAAACTTTGAGTTTTAACGATAAGGATAAATTGTTGGAAAATTAGTTATTATTTTATTATTGTTTATGGTTTTCTTGTGGGCCAAGGATATTAGAGTTTCTTGCCCATTAGAATTAGGTTTTCGTTTCCTGGCTTATTAGGGACTAAGGTTAGTTTATTATAAATAGAGAGTTTTGTTATTCAAAGATAAAAAGTCAATCACAATGTAGTCTTTTGGAGTTTTTGTAACCTTTCGGCATTCTCGTTTGTTTAATAATATTTCTATTATTTTGTTAGTCTCGTTCGTTGCGCACTCTGATATTCAATTTGGTATCAGAGCAAGTTTGATCCTCCGAGGTTAAATCTGTTCTTGGTAGCTAATTTGTTTGTGCTGTTCTTCGTTGTGATTTGTTTTTCGTTGTGCCGTAGGTTTCTGTTTTGCAGTTTGAAATAAAAATAAATAAAAAAAGTGAAGCTTTGTTGCATTGAGCCGCCAGAGCCACGCCACACCGGGATCCGGCCCACCTACCTGGCCTACCACCTCGTCTTGCCATTCAATGTTGTTCTTGTTCCTGCCATCCACCATCGTCCTTGTTCCTGCCATCCACCACACCACTGCTACGTCAATCTCACCGCCGCTGATTGTGTCTAGCATGCCTGTTCCCTGCATGATTTCTTGCTTGCCTGAATCAGGAACACAAACCACCACGCACTGCCGCTGCCGCCTGACCAACCTTCTGCCCTGTCGCCGCAGACCATTGCACAAACCATCACCATCCCGACCACTGCACCATACATGCACCGTGACATCCCCACCCGTATACCCGTTGCTCTCGCCCACACCAGAGCTGCTACGCACACACTGATTGGTGCTACACCCTGCCATACCTCGAATCCGCTGGAATTACCGAGCCTTGAATCTCGAACTTGTACGTTGGCGACCCCTCTGTTGAGAAGCCACTGCTTGTTAGTTTGAATTGCTTACGAATGACCACTCAAAGAAAAGAAGAAGAAAAAAAATGAAGGGAGAGTAATCAGGTTTTGAGGCCCACACGGATGATATGAGAATAACCTGTTGTTGGAACTTTGTTGCTCACCACCACAATTGCTTTAGTGCTTGGACTGATGACCACTTGAGTGACGTTGTGTACCTGGTCATGGCTCCAGATTTGCTGTCCCCAAATGTGTGTCTCATTTGTGTCTCTTTGCTGATATGTTGACACTTGTCATTTAACTTAACTTAAAACTTAACACTGTTAACTTTATTTATTTAATATTTAAATTTAAAAAAATCCAAAATAATAAAAAATTGTTGGGTTAACGAGGTGAGCAAACCCAAACAGGATTCTTCACCTTCTTTTACGCGACTGTTCAATGCACAAACATCTCTGTTCAAGCTTTCTGGTAGAACTTGATGATGGCGCGTGGGTTCTTGCCAGTAGGCGGAGGAATCACCAGACAGGAATTGGTCCAAGTGTATGTTAATCTGCCAGTGCTGCTGGAAAGTGAGATTAATAAACAAGCTTCTGCGTCCCAACTGAAAGGTGATCAAAGAACTCCATGCTATGAATTAGGTATGTGTGTGTCTGTGTGTGGTGTGTGTGTGTGTATATATATATATATATTCTTGCTGAAATATTCATATATAAATTTGACTCTTATATATTGTATTTTTCATTTTTCCTTAAGGACATGGACGAAATTGTGAAAATTGCTTGGGTTCCACCGGAATTGGGCGATGCAGTGGCGTGTGTCTGTGCAGATGAAACTTTATCATTGTGGGAGGAAGTTGCTGAAGATGCACAACCTCTTCAATGGAAGCTGTGCACAAGCTTTAATAGCGGTTTGGCTCAATTGCTAGATACCCAATTTGGAGTCTCACCAGTAGGTTTAAAAATGGTTACTGCATATTCAGATGCTCGTGTCAAGTTCTATGAGCTAATGAATCCATTGGAACTGAAGAATTGGCAGCTTCAGGCTGAATTTCAGAGTGTTATTGACTCGGTGTCTACAGTTGGCCATGCCATATGCATTATATACCTTGGAATCCACAAAGGAAAGAAAAGCTAGGAATCAATTTTTGTTTTGGGTTTCAATTTAAAAACACCACAACTTAATTCCGCCGAGATATGGGAATTTGATCAGGCTCATCAAAGATGGCTCCCAGTTGCAGAGTTGGCTTCGCCTGGTGACAATGGTGATTAGGTCTACGCAGTTGCGTGGGCACCGAACATTGGAAGGTCATATGAGGTAAATGTTGTTGCCACTCATAAGGGAATATCAATATGGCATCTTGGGTTAAACCCTGACTTGGATGGAAGGCTATTATTGGAGAAGATTGCACTATATTTTAGTTTGAAGCAAGTGAGATTATAACAATATGAAATCATCATTCATAGCTGAGGTGACTGAATTACACAAAACCAAAACTATAGTGCTATATATGTCCTTTAAATGCAAGAACTGATTTGTGACTAAATGAAAGCTCTTGCAGGTGCTTGGGGTCAAACGAATTTCACTCTAAAAACAAAGTAAAATTCGTTCTTTTCAATCAAACTATGTTATGAGTCATTAGCAAATCAGAAGAACTGATAGTCACTACTTTCCAAACATCAAACTAAATAAGATGGTTCTTTAATAAAAAGTATTAACTGAAGCTTTAGTCCCAAAAACAGAGTAAATTCCCTGAGCGCTCTTCTCATAGCATCTTGCACTTTCATATCATTATCATGTGTCTTCGTGGTGCTTGTCATTTGAGAGCTTATCAAAGCCTAATCCTTCGTTGTTGGTAATTGTATCTGCGCCTATATGCATATATAATGACATAAAATTAGTCCTTTAGGAAAGAAATTATAAATGAAAAAAGAAGAAAGTATTAACCAATTACAAAAGAGTTACCTGCAATAAATTAACCATGCTAGTTGGACCTTACGGATAACTGCTTGTAGCATTTTGGATCCCTAAATAGTATTGCTAATATACATATAAACAGAAGTGCAAAAAAATATGCCTATAAGTAAACAATATATTTAAGAAAATAAGTGCAAGATTGTAGAAGTATGCTTGTATAAGTGAACCTATATACCTGTGAAAAATCAAATGGCTCTCCAAAATGCATATGTCCAGGCATTAGATTGGGTTGACCAACCTAAATTTATAAAACCGTCCAAAATTAGATGGAAGTCAACACTAAATGAAAGTAAAATAAATGTTCAAAACCATGAGTTTCAATAAATCCACAGATCACAAGGTTACATACCGACTGCAATATAGGAGTATGAGGTAGAGTTGTTTGTATAGAACCGGCAACGGAGTCCACCGTTGAATATTTTAGTTCCTTATTTCGAGGCTTTTTCTTTTTGGTGGCCTTTTCTAGAGCATTTCTTGGCCTCTTAGAATTTCCAGCAACTTTTTCCTTAGTTTTGATTCCTCTAACTTGAATGACATTATCATCAATGCATATAGTCTCACTGAGCTCAGATGCATTCACTTGAGTTGGTTGTTGAGTTTCTTTCTCCTTCAAACATGCATCAACCTCTCCCAACGTCTTGTTCAGTCTTGATATAGCAATTTCATATGCTTCCGGTGACTCTGCTGCTCGTGTTGCTAATTGAATATGCAATCGACATAGCTCTTTATAACGCCTTACAATGTTGGCCTTTGGGTCATCTTTACTTGAGATGTTGATAGTAACTCTTGCACTGCTAGACTTGATATTTTTTGTCCATCTCTCCAAGACGTACTGAGTTGGAATGCTTGTAATATTTCTTGTTGAAAGAACCTTTAGAGCATGTGCACACAAGATTCCTGCAAAATCATACTTCTTACAACTACATGAAACAATATTGTTTGTCGAGTCAAATGTGACTGTATGGTGCCAATTCTTCCTATGAGGGATGATTTCATATTTTCTAACGCTTCCAATCTCACCATTGAAGATCAAGACACAATCATGAGCTTTGCATAACTCGTTTTGAAACCATTTAAGCATTGCTGGTGTATAAATACCTGCTGCATGCTTTAATATTTCTACTGGAAATGACAATGTAGGGGAACTTTGACTTGCTTTAAATTCAGCTCTCAACTCTTGATACCGACGATCGTCAACCAACCTTTCAAAATGTTTAACAAATCGTAGCAAATCATATTTGTAGTTGACATACTTCTTGATAGCACTGTTCATACTTTCACTGCGCTGAGTAGTAGTAATATCAACACAAAAAGTTTGCCGCCCATAAACTAATGCCCATTTCTCTTTTATGGCAAACAATCGATTCAACCAATCATTGTCTGTAAGATTATATTTCTGCAGCATGTTATTCCAAGCATATAGCAAATCATCTTCATCCTCATAGTCGTATATGCAACTACTAAACTCCTTGGCAAAATCATTAAAATTCTCAAAGACACTTTTAAGTTGCTTGGCTGCATTTTGGTATGTGCCAGATGCATAAACGATGACATGTTTGTGGCCACTTCTCAAACAATGCTTTGGCCATTGCTGCATCTTGATCAGTTAGAATAGTTTTTGGTTTTTTTCCAGACATAGCCTTGACAAAAGTGTCAAATAACCGACTAAATGTTGCAGTGATCTCCGCATACAATAATGCAGCACCAAATACAACAGTTTGTTTATGATTGTTGACACTAACAAACATCGCAAAAGGTCTTCCTTCTTTATTTTTTCTATATGTGGTATCAAAACATACAACATCACCAAAATAATCATAATCCACCATCATCCTTGAATCAGCCCAGAAGATATTAGTAATCAAATCATCTTCATCCACTTGTATAGCATAAAAGAAATTAGGGTCATTCAACTGCATTTTTTGTAAATATTCCAACACTCCGCCTATATCACCTAACTTCATCTCTCTTGTTCGCTTGGAATGCAAATAATTCTTATAGTCATCATAAATGAATCCAAGATTTTGACGACCACCAACTTGTCTACTCATAAATTCAACACTTTCTCTTGGAGCAATTCCTGAACTATCAGCCATATCAGCTTTAACTTTTTGTGCAAAAGACATGTTCCTATGTGACCTAAAAAAATGAGTCTTACTAGGACTTGATGTTGGATGTGTATGCTCAGGAATAAATTTAATAACCTTATAGTTCTTTGCCGATCGACCACAACTGATTTGCATCCTTGCTCGACATCCAAATCTTGTTTCAGCGCGATGAGATTCAACATTGGGATCACACTTCTTTTTTACGATGCCCTTCCGAAGAGCAAACAAAAAATATGTCCATCAACTTGCCATCCTCATTTTTATGAGCTTTACTTTTTCGAACACTAAAGCCAAACAGTATAAGCATATGCATTGTAAAATTCAAAGGCATCTTCTTATGTCTCAAACTCCATGCCTAATACTGGAACTAGTTGTTTCCGGACATCAGTTTTTTCCAAATCTATTGTTTCATTGCTTTCACAGTCTATAACAGAATTCAAGTCAATACCTGTTTCATAATTCAGAAGTGACTTTGCATATGCTTTTGTTCCATTAGCTTCATTGAGATTATCTTCTCTGTCCATGTCCTTAAGGAAAAATGAAAAATACAACATATAAGAGTCAAATTTATATGTGAATATTTCAGCAAGAATACACACACACACACACACACACATATATATATGCACACACACACACACACACACACATATATATATATATGTATATATATACACGTATATATATATATGTATATAGACACACACATACCTGATTCATAGCATGGAGGACGCAGAAGCTTGTTTATTAAAATCACTTTCCAGCAGCACTGGCAGATTAACTTACACCTGGACCGACTCCTGTCTGGTGATTCCTCCGCCTACCAGAAAGCTTGAACAGAGATGTTTGTGCATTGAACAGTCGCGTAAAAGAAGGTGAAGAATCCTGTTTGGGTTTGCTCACCTCGTTAACCCAACAATTTTTTATTATTTTGGATTTTTTTAAATTTAAATATTAAATAAATAAAGTTAACAATGTTAAGTTTTAAGTTAAGTTAAATGACATGTGTTAACATATCAGCAAAGAGACACAAATGAGACACACATTTGGGGATAGCACATCTGGAGCCCCTGGTCATTAGTTGGATTGTCCGCCCGAATTTGCTTGTTTGCCTGGATTGTTCGTTTGCTCGCTTGATTGCTCACCCATTTGCCTTGTCATGTCCGCCTAACGGAGCTTACCTTGTCGTGTCAGTTTGATGGGGGGGGGGGGTTGGAAAATTAGTTATTATTTTATTATTGTTTATGGTTTTCTTTTGGGCCAAGAATATTAGAGTTTCTTGCCCATTAGAATTAGGTTTTCGTTTCCTTGCTTATTAGGGACTAGAGTTAGTTTATTATAAATAGAGAGCTTTGTTATTCAGAGATAAAAAGTCAGTCACAATGTAGTCTCTTAGAGTTTTTGTAACCTTTCAACATTCTCGTTTGTTTAATAATATTTCTATTATTTTGTTAGTCTCGTTCGTTGCGCACTCTGATATTCAACTTGGTTTAGACTTTTTAGCGTAAAAATGTGGTTTTTCGTTAAAGTGAACAGTACCACGAGTTTTTTTGTTAAAACTCCCAAATCTTTTACAAGTAAGAGCATGTCGAAGAGGCTATTTAAACCTCTTAGAAAGTTGATTTAGAAAAAGGTCTTAGAGATACTCTAACTTGGTGTGATATTTGTCCCCGCGCACAGTGAAAGGTACATGACTTATAAGAATTTAGGGCCACATAACCAATAATTACTTTGAACATATTAAACATCTTCAATCGTGCTCTCTAATTTTATATTTTAAATTTTAATTAGAATACCAAATTTATTTAGGAGATCTTTATAAAATGTCTACTTTAATCATGCTCTTCAATTTAAGAATTCGTAATAATTAGGGGCCGATATAGTGTTATACAAAATATCATGTTATCAATGAACTATGTTGGACACAGACAAACCAACAAAGAAAACAATAGTAGGAAAAACAAGAAAGAAGTAACTTTGGTTAAAGTATTAACCCCTAAGCCCTTTCATCAAACCATAAATCTCAATCTCTCTCCCTCTCTCGCATGCTTAATCACTCTTGGTGGACTATTTGTAATCCGAATCTGGGTGATCTATCCATGATCAGGATGAAAATTTTTCATTGAAAAATTTAGAGTCTAACCTTGAAATTGTATCCGAGTTTAGCATTTGTCCCTAAACTAAAATTTTATGAATTTATGTCCCTGAATTTAACAAAATGTTTAGTATTCATTCTTTCATTTGACTCACGTGCGGTTGTATCGGGCAACAAGAGGGAAAGTCATATTTTGAGGCAGAATTTCATCTCATTCAAAGCCCAATCTTTAAATTTCACATCGTTCCAAATTGTTTTAATTCATAAAGCGAATGCCTCAATCGAATAGAAAGGGTCTTCCGTAGTTTAGAACTATTTGAACTAGTCAATTTAAGTCCATCGGAAACTTTCATGTAGATTTCCATATCAAGATCCCTATATAGATACGCAGTTACCACATCTATAAGCTTCATGTCAAGTTGTTCGGGAACTACCAGTCTTACAAGGTAGCATGACGTTATCACATCCATAACGGGTGAATACGTCTCCTCATAATCAACTCCAAGGCGTTGAGAGAAACTCTGCGCCACAAAGCGTGCTTTAGCCTCTTGAAAAAAAAAAATCTCCGACATCGTATCTTTAGAATTCTTGACTTGGGCGAAATTTGTCTCACGAGTAAAAGTAATTAGAAGTAGTCGTTGAGGTAAGTGGAGCACAATGAAACGAGAGAGCTGCCAAAATATGACTTTCCCTCTTTAATATTTCATTTAGTCCCCTCACAACTACTTTAATATCTAGGCTAAATCCAATTTCAGAGACTAATTTGAGTAAAAAAAATAAAAATAAAAATAAACCTAGTTTAAACTAAAACTTTTCTTTGCTAAATCCATTCTCACCATTGTTAAATTCAACAAGCATGGATCCAATATTTGCCAATCATATGTGTTCAGTTTGACCCAATTAAAAATTTCATTTAGAGCCTAGATATTAAAGTAGTTGTGAGGGGACTAAATGAAACGAGAGAGCTGCCAAAATATGACTTTCCCGAGTCCCCTCACAACTACTTTAATATCTAGGCTCTAAATGAAAATTTTAATTGGGTCAAACTGAACACATATGATTGGCAAATATTGGATCCATGCTTGTTGAAATTAACAATGGTGAGAATGGATTTAGCAAAGAAAAGTTTTAGTTTAAACTAGATTTATTTTTATTTTTTTTACTCAAAATAGTCTCTGAAATTGGTATAACTTCTCACTTTGATACTGAGATTTAAAATTGATAAAAGTTGTCCATGATATTGTCTCCGTCAACTATTTTGATGTACTAGGGAGGAGAACATTTATAGCCAATGACCAGACCTACATTTACATGGTGAGACTAAATTATTATAAGAAAAACTAATAAAAAAGGAACTGTTTTTTGTCCTTATTATTAATAAAAGTTCATTAAGCGTTTCTAATAATAAAAAAAAAGTTTGTGTGACCATTTTATTAAATGTCCCCAAACACCGGGCGTCGTCGTGGTATATTCATATCTTTATATAAGCAATATATGTTTTTTTATTACAATTAATATTAATATGACTTTAGCTTTTGAAACTTAATTTTCTCTATATAAAACTCGACATAATTGTTTTACTCAAATAAAACCTAGTGGCTAGACTCCATAGAAGCAAATTCATTAAGTTTATTTGACTTTACTCATTTTACATTTTTAGGATGCCTAAAATACCCCTATGTGAATGTTTGATGTAGAAAATTAATTCCATGCGGATTGTAAAGGGGATTAATGATTTTACAAAAGAAAAAGAAAATACATCATTAAAGATATATACTCATTGCCTAGTATATGTAAAAATTCATACAAAATCATTTACCTTAAAAATAGAGAAATAACATTTGATTCAAAATTAGTGTTCTTACAAAATAGAGAAATAAAATATAGGTCAACTATTTACAAATGAAATGATAATACACGCAAAATAATAATTAAATGGAGAAACCTTCGCCCTTTCTCCCTCCAGAAACCCTTGTCTGCAAATCACCCTAACCGTCGGTCTCTTTCCATGGCTTGGGCTGGTGGCAGCCCATCCTATCTCCTCCTCCTAGCTTCCCTTTCCTTCCTTTCTTCTCTTAGTTTTTCCTTCTCCTCCCTTCTGATCCATCGCCTTTTTTCCTCTGCGTGTTTCTTCACCTTCTTTCCTTCCCTCATCCACGGTTTTTTTCCTTCTCTTCCACCATGTGGGCACTGCTCTCTCTACCTTCCCTTAACGTTTTATGCGCTGCTTTCGAGACACCATCCCAGATCCGTTTTGTGCCCTTATCAAGGCTTTCTCTTTAATTTGGGTCTGATTTGGGATTTGTGCTTGGTTTGGGGTTGCTGGCGTGTCGGAGCTACTTCGGCCATTCTTTCCCAATGCTGAGATTTTCAAATCAAATTTTGCCATCGACTTTTCTGGGAAACAACCGCCTTCTGCACCCAAATCTGGTGCTGCGCCACCTGGGTCGTGCAAACTTTGAGGCTGCTCAGCCTTTAGGCGTGATAATCTGGCGTTTCACTGCTTGGGTCGACCTGTTTTGGAGGCCCTGCTGCTTGAGGTTTCCTGGACCCTCCGGTGTCTCTTCATCTGTTGCGGGACTTGCTGATGGTGCTTGTCATTGCAGGTTACATTGTCTCAGAATCGTCCTATCCCTTCATCGGAATATGCCGGCTTGTGGTTCCCTTCTCGATTTTTTTCTTTTTTGTTTAGTTTCAGATTAGTTGAGTTTAATTTAGTTTATCTTAGTTTAGTCCTGTTGTCTCACCTAGCTAGTGTTGTGGCCACGCTGCAACGTTGGCTGGATATAGTTTTCGTATTGGGCGATGTGTTATGTGATCTCGTCTACCTACGATGATTTTATGTGGTCTCGTTTCCAAGATGACCTTGTGTGGCCTCGCTATTTGGCGATAATTTTGCAGTTGCTGATACAAATATGTTATA